GCGCACGGGAGGAGGGGGGGAGGGGGGGGGGCGGGCGGCACCCTGAAACGTGCGCGGGCGAGGGAGAGATGTCTGCCCGAGGCGGTACAGCAGCAGCCGAGGTGCTGCATCTGGCCAGGCACGGCGCACTCGTCAGAGGCACGTATGCCATTCGCGGTGCAACGCAGCGGAGAAGGAGCAAGGCACTCCGGCAGCCAGGCCCACACGCAGATGGCCAGCGTCCCTTCGCCAGCACGGGGCGCGTGGAAGGCTCTGCCTGGCTGGAACCTTCTGGACACCATCCCGCGACCCCCAGCCAGGACGCAGGGACCGCCGCTCCTATCAGAGCGCGTTTCGGCGCCGCTCCTATCAGGGAGCATTCGGGCGCCGCTCTCATCTGGGAGACCGACCATGGGCGCGGTTCCCACCAGGGAGCATTGCGGCACTGCCCCTGTCAGGGAGCGTTGAGGTGCCGTGCCTTCCAAGGAGCGCACGGGGCCGCTCCTTGAAGGGAGTATCGAGGTGCGGCATCCATCATGGAGCCCAACACTGCCGCACGTGCCAGGGAGCATCAAGCACCGCCCTCCAGGGGGGCGCCACAGCGGCCAAAGCTCCTCTGAGCACGGTTCCGCCGCTTCGCGCAGAAAGGCACGCCGTTGGCCCGCGATGTGGGCCAAGGCATGTAGGCGGACAGGATGCAAGTTCATTGGTCATTCAAACGTTGCGCGGCCGCATCAGCCATCGGGCAAGCCGCTCATCGAGAAATTGGCGGGCAGCAAATATCGGGGATTGACAGACCTCCCTTTAGTAAAACGTGGTTTAGTGAAAACGACCTGAGGCCTAAACCTGGCGGGCGCAAGCCTGGAAAATGACGGCCGCGGCGCCCTCTCGAGAACCGAAAACAGACAATTCACTAATCGACGTGTCACTGTTGGGGGTTCTGTCCACCCCCCAAAATAGGCGGACCGGGCAGAGCCCGTCCCGAGTCGCGACCGAGGCGTTTGGGCACCGCCCTGCATGCACGGCAGCTCGAGCCGAAGAGTGGCGGTGACGCGACGATGAAGGAGACCTGGGACACACAAATAAATACACAAATAAGAATATTTCCCATATGTTCCCATATTTTCTTGGTTTCTGTCTTCCCCCCCATTTCCCATATTTTCCTATATTTTCTGTGGATTCGAGGATTAAGTGTGTCTGTGTGTGTTTCTTTTCCTCCTGAGATGAGAGGGGGCGGAGGCCAGCGCACAGCAGGCCACGCACGCAGAAGAAGGCCCGGGAAGAAGGAAGTCCATGGCCGCCTGCCCACCACGTCGCGGGGCCACCGCCGCCCTGGAGGAGGAGAGTGGAGATGGGAGGGCCCCCCCAGGGCTCCGATTCGATTCGATTCGATTTCGACGGTTTCCGATTCCGATTCGATTCCGATTCGGATTCGATTTCTCAATGGAGGCCGACCAACCTGCCGATGCCTGCCGATTCCGATGTTTCCCGACTCGGCCGCCGATTTCCGTCGATCCGATGCATGGCGATTGCCGAGCCGACTTGTCGGTTCGATTCTGGGCACTCTTGCCCCCAGAACCATCCCTATCGATGATAATATCTCGGGAGGCCACCTTCTGCGGAGGACATGCTTGCTGCAGTGGCAGCAGCGCGGTTCGAAGGTGCCATCATGCTTCTCGCTGGCCGCTGCTGCCAATACAGCTTGAATGAGGGTCAGGCGAGCACGGCCGTAAGTGTCGCTGGTCTTGTCCTGGAAGCTGGGGATGTGATTGTGTTCCGCGCAGGGCGCTCGGGGGCAAGGACAGCGGATACGCAACGATTCGTGCGAGCGCTCCCCGGCTCGTGTGGGCATCGGAGACCGCATGCTGCCCAGAAAGCCCACAGCCAGGGGCATCATGCTCAAGGATGCGCTTCAGCTCAGGAGCGCGCGTGCGCGCGCCCTCCAGCTGCGCCACCACGGCGAGGGGGCGTCAATCAGGCAGGGAGGAGGAAGGAGGAGGCAGAAGGAGGCAATGGAGGAGGAAGGAGGAGGAAGGAGGAGGGAGGAGGAGGGAGGAGGAAGGAGGAAGGAGGGGGAAGGAGGAGGAAAGAGCAGAGTGAGCAGTCAGAAGCTGGGAGGAGGGCGGGGAGGTGGGCGGTCGCTTGAGGCTGGGTCGCAGCCGTTGCAGAGCTTGTGCGGCAAGAATGAGACACGCGTGTGCTTCCCAGGAAGCGTGAACGAGTATGGATGGCTTTTTTCTCGCGGGGGGGAGGAACGTGAGGCCCACTACCATCCGAGGGATGGAGCACCTCAAGTGACACAGAACCCAGTGAGAGCGAGGGCTAACCAGAGCCAGCATCGCTTGAGTGAGGGAGGGGCACGATCAAGGAGGGCAAGGAAGAAGGTGCATGGCTGCGTTTTAAAACGCCAAACCTCGAGATCAGGAGGTTAGTGGTGTGGCAGAAAGCTCTGGGCCAGTTGCTGAGCATTATGTCCTGCCGACGAGCACCTTGTAGTGAAGCAGAGCGGGGTAGGAAAAGGCAAGAGGAGGATGAGGATGGAAGGGGGCGGAGGAGGGGGAGGAGGAGCAGAAGAAGAAGGGAGAGGAGGAGGAGGAGGAGGAGGAGGAGGAGGAGGAGGAGGAGGAGGAAGACGACAAGCTCTCTCCCCCCCTGAGCAGCGTCCATCGCGATCTCCAAGGCAACTCTGCTGCCGACTCTTGCGTCTCCCCGTTTGATCCCGGTAATGCAAGGCATATTTCAAATTACACGTGTGCACTTACGACATCCTCTATCACAACTCGCGGCACGTGGCTACGGCGCAAGAAACAGCTGCAAGACATGCCTAATTAGGACCTCCAGATTGGATTCGAAGCGGGGCCCGTGCAGCAGTGCACAAACTGTGTCGTGGTTCGTGTGAATTCTGGCCCCGAGAATGCTGGCACCTCTCAGTTGGGCTTATGGCGGCACTGACCGCTGAGCCAGAACGGTGTTCCTCCTCCTCGTGCTCCAAAGTTGGGCACCAGATAGCCTGCGGTGGCCGCCGAGTGTCAGTGATGGGTAGCACGGCAGGTTGCCTTCAGGGCGCTAGCCTTCAGTTTTGGGGGCGGGTGAGGACCGCACTGGGTGTGCCCACCTCATCCGGGCCTTCTCCGAGTTCTTCGTCATGCGGTCGCTGACTTGAGCTCCACTGTGACACCAGCGTAGGGATGTTGACGTAGCCGTTATGCCCCTTTTGAGAGGCAACTCGACTCCCAAATCCCCCCCCCCCCCTATTTGCCACCCTTCACTTTGAAGGTGCGCGTGCTGGTGCAGGGCTTTCGCGAGACGCCCGACGTCGTCGAGGACCGCGTCTGTGTGTGCTGCTTTGGCGCTCGAAGAAACACAGCACAGGTGTCCAGTCCAGGCACGGGCTGAGGTGTTCGTGGGGCGGGGGGGCAGAGGGAGGGAGGGAGTAGAAAAGGGGAAGGGAGAACGAGAGACGTAGGGAGGGACCCTCCCCTCTCACTCGCTCCTGCATCCCGCCTCCCTCCCTGCTCTCCTTTCATCCTCCGTCAGGCGTCCCCATGCCTGGCTCTTCCCTCATTCCTCCCACCTAACTCCTCGTTTTTCCCTCATCCGTCTTCCCCACTCGTTCCTGTCTCCCCCCCTCCTTTATTTGCGCAAGAGACCTAGTGGCTCTTACGAACTCCCCAGTCCGGGTTCCATGGATTCTTTCGTAGGGTTACTCGCCTTTAGGTTCTCTAATATCCGAGGAGTGTTGGGTTCCTCGTGCTCGTCTGGAACCCTGCGTTGATTCGCGATGCCACTGTTGATGAATTGCTTTACGCTTGAGATCGCGTTGCTTTACATCGCTACGGTTTCAAAGGAATCCAACATAGTGCCCGAACAGTCTTCGCACCCGGGGGCTATTGCTTCGGCTTCTTCACTACGTAGGTGGGAGTTCTGTGCTTTCGGGAGGTTGCCGCCACGTGCGTCACCGTGCGCTGGTTGGGAGCTCCGGGCTTTCGCCACGCCGCCGTCCTTGGGCGTTTCAGGTTCGCCTCGTGCGCCAGCTCTGAGAGCTCAGGGTTTTCGCGGCGGTGCCGCCCGTTGGCGGAGGAGGAGGAGGAGGAGGAGGAGGAGGAGGAGAGGAGGAGGAGGAGGAGGAGGAGGAGGAGGAGGAGGAGGAGGAGGAGGAGGAGGAGGAGGAGGAGGAGGAGGAGGAGGAGGAGGAGGAGGAGGAGGAGGAGGAGGAGGAGGAGGAGGGGAGGAGGAGGGGGAAGAGGAGAGAGGAGGGGAGGAGGAGGAGGAGGAGGAGGAGGAGGAGGAGGAGGAGGAGGAGGAGGAGGAGGGGGAGGAGGAGGAGAGGAGGAGGAGGAGGGAGGAGGAGGAGGAGGAGGAGGAGGGGGGAGGAGGAGGGAGGGGAGGAGGGGGAGGGGGAGGAGGGGGAGGGGAGGAGGGGGAGGGGGAGGAGGAGGAGGAGGAGGAGGCCTCCTGCGCCCGCGGAGAGTTCCCTGTCCCGCTCCGTTGCAGCCCGCGTGCGCCGCGTGGGCACACCCCTGCGCCGGTGGGGAGCGCCAGGAGGTTTCGCCCCGTGTCCGTCCGTGGGTGCCTCGGGCACCCCGCGCGCTGGCTGGGCGCCTCGGGGTCTCGCCCCGTCGCCGCCCCACTGGCTGCCTCGTGGGCAGCCAGTGGGACTGGGGGTTGGGACAGTGGGGGTTACGAAATTTGCTGCATGCAGCTGGTTTCGGCCCCACCGAGGGGCCCATTCCTCGATACATGGCCGCCTCCGGCGCCGGGAGGCGCCGGGAAAATCAGCTACGTGAGCTGATTCTCAACCCCCCCCTTTGCTATCCCCCCCTTTCGCCCGACCCGAACATACTTCACATCGCGGCGCTTGCACCACAGACTGCGCCACACAGCTCACACCGCAGCGCTTGCAGGAGCTAGCGGACACACCATGGCTGATTGCACGTGGCTTACACCAAGCAGCTTACACCACATGGCTTGCACCACGTAGCTTGCACCACACCACACAACGTACACGCCCAAAGTGCACCATGACACTGCTTGGGGTGCCTACAATCTGACAAACATGAGATTACAATGCACTTATTCGCCTCGCATGTTGTTGCATCATCATGGCGCCCGATCTTCATGAAAATGACTCCCACTGCACCTTCTTGGAAAAAACACATTTTGCATTAATTAATCAAGTCGCTCATTCCACCAGCCCGTTTCGCATCATTTTGGCTGCGTGGTGGTGTGTTCATGCCCAAGGGGAAGGGTAGGGCAGGCAGGAACGTCCTCGAGGAGACCTTTGGAGATGTGGCTCCGACCCTGTCGAAGAGAGCCGATAGGGCCTAGACTGTGGGTTGTGGGTCAGAGTCCTCATGGATGCTTCTTGGGGTCTCTTCGGTGGGCTCTGGGGAGCCTCTGGGGAGCAGTTTTGAGGCTTCTGGGAAGCCTCTTGGGGTTTTCTTGGGGACCTCTTGGGGCTCCCTGGGGGTCCTGTTGGGGGTCCTGTTCGTCCGGGGACCCCCAGGGGCCGCAAGACGCGAGCAAGAAACATTCGTAAATTCTTACCCGAGACTTTTTATCACGCCTCAGGCCCGTTGGGCCGGCGAATTTCCACTGGCTTGCACTGCGTGGCGCATCTTCTCGTTGAATTTGCACAATTGTACGTGCCCTTGTCTGCTAGGGCACACTGGAGACCCATGCCAAGAAACACCATGCTTGTCTCCAGGGTGCCCTGGGTTTCTTGGGTTTCGATGGTTTTGCTTTGGAAAGCGTGGCGTGAAAGCGTGGCGTTCCCACACCAAACATCCATGGACGTCCTGGGGCCTCAGGGTTGGGCTTCTTGTGGAAAGATTAGTGTGGACTGGCCTCCACTAGTCCTCATTCAGCCAATGTCTAGGCACGTACATGTGAGAAGCTGCGATCAAGGGTTGGGCCTTGCAAGAACATAACCGTTCACAACGCTCGCGCGCATGGTTTCGAATGTTGTTTACACACGCACACACGTATTCCGACGACTGGGCAGAATTGGATGAGGCTTCCGCCCGCCCAGCCGCTCCGGGTGCTCAAATGCGCCATCACGTGCGTACTGCGTCATAGACTTGGGGGAACGCCTGCAGTGCCCATGGGCAGCATCCAGGGCGGCTGCATGGAGGAATTCCTCCAGCGCCGCCACCCCAATATGGACAGCCCATGGCCGACCCAGCGAGGCATTCGCCCGCCCTCCAGGCGGATTTCGCCACCGACGCCTTCCTCGGGCGCCACGCCTCCCGCCCGCCCCCCGCGCAGCCCCCGCTCCAGCGGGGCCCCGCTGCTGCCGACCCGCCCGGCCCTCGGCGCGCGGGCGCGACGCCGGGGCCACCCCTGCCACCCCCTTTGGGCGCGGCCCCGCGCACTGCCGGGGCAGGCCGGGCCAGCGGCCGCGAGGCCTCGGCCCGCCGGGGCCCCCGCCCCGGGCACCGAGGCCGGCCGCCCCAACCCCCTCGGGTGCCGCCGAGGCCCCGCCGACGCGCGCTCTGGGCTCCACCCGCCGCTTCCCCCCCCCCCCCCCGCCGACGCGCTCCCTCTTCGGGCCGCCTCCTCGGCTCCCTTGCGTCGAAGAGCTCTCCCCCGCCCCCCGCCGACGCGCTCCCTTTTTCGGCACCTCCGGGACCGCCTTCTCGGCCCCCCGGGCGTCGGCGGGCTGGCCGCCGCCGTCGGGCACGATCGGCGCCCGGGGAGCCTCCAGGCTCTGCTCACCGGAGGGCGCACGCGGCACGGCAGACCCTCGACCCCGCCCGCGGCGACGCCTCCCTGCTCCCGCGCCTTCCGCCCTCGGGCCTGCGGCGCAAAGGGGGGGAGCCCGCCATCACGGCCCCGCCTTCGGGACTGCTGCGCGGGCACGACCCCGTCGCGGCTTCCCCTCCTTGGGAGATGGTCAAGGCTGCCAGTCGCATCCGTCGCGAGGCTGGCAGCTCGTTCTCGTCCGAGTTCCCTGCATCCTTTGCGCCAGCGCATGCCCCCGCTGGCCAGCGGGACAGGAACTTCATTTGGGGAGCCGCCCCCCGCCCCAGGGACGCTGCCCGCCCCCCCCGCCCTGGCGGTCGCGGACTCCGCCGCTCCCAACGCCAAGCGGGCGCGCTCATGACGCCCTTACCACCGCCTCGTCCGCTGGCCCAGGCACGGCCGACGGCACGGTCGACCCAGACGCGGACGGACCCTTACGCTCCGACCCCCATCGGCGGCCGGCGCATGGCTCCAACCCCCAGGGAGACCTCCACTGGCAGGTTTCTTGCCGAGGTCGTGGTTCCTCGGCAGCGCTGGCCTCGCTGCGACACGCGTTCCCCTGCCCCACAGCCTCTCGCCCTAAAAGCCAGGGCCCGAGGTGGCTCGTCGGGGGATCTTAGGGCCATGTTGGGGCGGAGGGCTCAACATGTCAGTTGGTGATCCCCACCTTGGGCACCTCTTGGGGCTGTCTTGGAGGCCGCTCTGGCTCCTCTTGAAGACCTAAAAGGTGGTAATGCGATAACCACACAAAAGCAATGTGATGATGACGATGTTTGTCTCTGGGGCCGCCCTCCAGAGCCTCCAGCGCGGTCCAAGAGGCGCCCAAGAGGGCTCCAGGACGGTCCCAGGGGCTTTCTGAAATTGGGCATGCATGTCCCGATCAACACGCTCTTGGCCTCTCGAAAAGTCTTTGGGGGCCCTCCTAGGCGAGGGGACAATCCAGGAGCGCCCGGGAAAACAGGGGTCTGGGCATTTTATGAAATCTACAAACCCTTCACCTCTAAGCGTTGCGTGAGCCTTGGAGCACTCCACTACGTACTGAAGGCACGGTCGCGGACATACACACGTATGTCTGAAAGGCATGACAACGACAATGACCAATATCATCTTCACAACCCGAAGTGTCCAGGCGCGGAATGATTTACGTGTTAGCGCTCCAGGGCGGAATGATTTCTGGTTTTTGGTATTATTTTGGATGGGACTGAGTGGTTATCACCCTTTTCTACACTTATGTGTATACATATATATATATATAACATCAGATTGTTTCAGGGCACGAGCCCACCAGATTCGGACCGCTGCCCGACCGAGAACCCATCGCTAAGATTCTACGGAGGGTGGGGGGCGTCGAAAGTCTTGCGTCTTGTGGCCAAAACTATACTAACCCCGTGTACTAATCTCCCATCTGTCCATCTCCTTCCTCCCTTTCTCTAATATGTTTGTCCCTCTCCACCCTCATCCCGATCCCCCTCTTCATCTCCCCGCATCTCCCCACATCTCCATATGCTGGGGCTGCTTGGATATGGCTGTGTTTCTCAGGGCGCGGAAGTATTCTCTTCCGAACGTAGTCGAGGAACCCGACGCTTCTGCACAAGCTAGTTTCCAGATGCAGAGCACCCTAGCGGCTGCAAAGCATTGAATCAGCCAGCGCAGATTCCAAGTATATCGGAAGATTGTATTGAAGCGGAGTGGAGTGTATTGAAGTAGATTGGATTGGAGTGGATTGGACCGACATGGGGCGGGCTCTACTACATGTTGGGCTCTATTACAGTCTACTTATTTTATACCCGACTCTATTAGATCATGTACCCTTAGTCTGGTCTACCCTACCCTATCGTATTCTATCATACTTAGATTATGCCATATTAGAATAAGTTGTCATCTGCCCGACTCTGCTCTACGCTGTGATATCATACTCCATTATACCCAACTCTAGTTTACAATATACTTTCGTTTATTCTAGTCTACAAATTTCCAGTCTAGCCAAACCTACTTTACTCTACTCCTACTCTTCTCTATCCTCTAGTCTTCTCTGCTCTACTCTACTCTTCTCGATTACGTTACTCTCTACTCATACTCTTCTCTACTCTATTCTGCCCTACTCTACTCTATTCTACTTCTGAGTGAATTTGACGATTGTTGAAACGCCCACTGGGAATAGCCACCGAAAGCCGTGCAGATAGCAGAGGAAGCAAGGCGGACACAGAGGAAGCCTTGTGGATAGCAGAGAAAGCCATGCGAGCACAAAGGAAGTCATGTGGACGCAGAGAAAATCATGCGCATTCCGAGGAAGGCATGCGCATAGCAGAGGAAGCCATGTGCATTCAGAGGAAACCATTCGCATAGTTTGACGATGCAAGGGCAAAACAGAGGGGGGGACAGTGGTCCAGCTACCTATGGATTGAGCTAGGACCCCTATAGGCAAGCCTAGTTGGATGATTATATCATGCAGCTTTTGCCGAGATCGAAAACCTCAGATTGTCTTTGAATCGGAGATGTTGGCGGACCACGCACCCACAATGGCTCGAGGATATGTCGAAACTTGTCTCGAAAGGTTTATGAATTCATGTTGTGGGCGGTTTTGCACCATCTGTTGTGGCGCTTCTTTTCTTGCGCGAGGAATTGATCGAAGACACGGTGCAGAATTTGACCGCCCGCATCGCTGGGATGTCCCACGAGGAGTTTGTGACGCGCAAGAACTCCCTGCGGGTTGCCTTGACACAGAAGGTGGGGCTTGACTTTAAGGGCCAGCTTCCCGGCACGTTAGCAGCGCCGAGTTTGGGGCACGCTTCAGCGTGGTTCAAAGTAACGCTGCTGCTGTAGAGGAACAAAAACGCATGAGCATAAAAGGTCCGAGTGGACCTCCGAAATATTATATTTATGTCGTTGTTTTGCTCGTCTGTTCTGGGGTGGTATCCTGCGAAATCGCAACGGGCCGGCCAACAATCCTGGCGCAAGTTCGTAAGTTGGGTAGTTTATTGTTTCGCCCCAGGCGCACCAGGAGGAGGGAGAGAAAAAGAGCGACAAAGACGTAAAGAAATAATAAGAGAGAGAGAGAGAGAAACAAAAAAAAGTGGAGAAGGAGGAGGAGGAGGAAAAAGAAGAGGAGCAAGAAGAGCGGAGCGGAGCCCTGTTCTTTCTCCTCCTCCCCTCCCATCCCTCGCCTCGCACACCTCCTCTGCACATCGCTCGCTCGCCTTGCATCTTCCTTCCCGCCTGGGCGAGGGAGGAGGCGCGAAAGGGGGCCCGCGAAAGGGGGGGCCCGCGAGAGGGGGGGCCCGCGGAAGGAGGAGCCGGGGAACTCCGAACTCTCGGGGGGCCCGCGAGAGGGGCGCCACCGTGGGAGCCACTGCCGGGGGCCGCGCCGCTCTCCAGGCAGGGCTGCGGACCTCCCGAGGAGGGGCGTGAGGAGGAGGAGGAGGAGGACGAGGGGGAGGGGGACAGAGGATGAGGGGGAGGAGGAGGAAGAGGAGGAGGAGGACGAGGGGGAGGAGGAGGAGGAGGGGGAGGAGGAGAACAGAGGATGAGGGGGAGGAGGAGGAGCAGGAGGACCAGTGCAAACCCAAGAGCCATCCACGATGTTGGATTACACCCTCCCCCCAAGCTCCCTCTTCATAGGCCCCTACAACGGGTCATTTCCATTGAAGGACCTGCCTCGTTGGAAGACAACCGTTTCAAGACCCAGAGGCCTGCCAAAACATTGTTCTCGGGATTCGAAAGAGCGCGTTCTGTGGTCGCTTGGAAGGGGGTGTCGGAACCAGGCCCCCCCCCTCCTCCCCTACTTCTCCTGTCTCCCTCTCCTCGGGCCGGCGCCTGCGACAGCGGCGGCATCGACGGTTCGATTCTGCAAAAGCTGAATGGCCTGGCAGGCCCGTGTCTACCAAAATGACAGCTGCAGCGTCTGGATGCATCCCGAAATAGCCACATCAGGCAGATCCCAGGCGCGGTTTGGTACACAGCGAGTGACGAAGATCGGCACGTTGAATTGTGTTGGTCACGTCGAGGCGAGCAGTGATGACGTTTGCCCAGGATCATTACGATTTGTTGTCGGAGCCCATTCTACGCGGACGTGCATGTATGCCCCGAGCCAGTGGTTCCCCGAGCAGCCGCTTCAATGAGGAGAGTTGGCAGGTCCTATGAGGAGTTTACCATTCGATTGGCAAGAGGCGCGCACTGCCAGCCAGCACGAGCATACTGTACGCAACACTGACCTTGGAGCTAACGCGCGGAATTTGATTTGTGTAAATGCCCAGCCTGGCACACGCAGCGCTTCGCGCTTCACGTGCTTGCCGGTTGTCAGCAGGGGCGCTTCACGTGCACGATGATTTTGTTGTATCAGGACCTTTAGGGGGAAGGCTTGGCTGTTGCGCCTGGACAGTCGCTGCCCCTTGGCAGCAAAAGTGCTTCACTTCGATATCTGACCAGCGGGCGCCGCGTCCGTTTGTGGGATCCGACGCGCCGTTGTCCAGTCGGGTTGGTGAGTCTTCGGGTGGGCTCGGGGGCGCGGCAGGGACGCAGACAGGAGGCTAGTGGCGGAGAACGGAGCGGGGAGGGGTGGGGTCGAAGGGCAGGCGGGGGCAAGGGGGAGAAGGAGCCGGACGAGGAAGCGGAGCAGGAGGAGGAAGGGGAGGGGATGGACGAGGACGGGGAGGAGGAGGAGGAGGGGAAGGAGGACGAGGAGGAGAACGAGGAGGAGGGGAAGGAGGACGAGGAGGAGGACGAGGAGGCAGGCGGAAGCGCAGGAGAAGGCATGAGGCGAGCGCTGAGCAGCAGCAGGGCCGGGAGGGGCAGGCGGAGGAAGAAGCGGCTGAAGGGGGGGGGGACCCCCCCCCGGGGGGGATATGGTCAGAAGGCGTTGACGTGGGCAAACCTGTGCACAACCTCCGCGCCCAGCCAGGGCCGGCCCTCGGGCCGGACGAAAGGGGGGGATTGGGAAAGGGGGGGTTACGAAATCTGCTGCATGCAGCTGGTCTCGGCCCCACCGAGGGGCCCATTCCTCGATACATGGCCGCCTCCGGCGCTGGGAGACGCCGGGGGAATCAGCTACGCGAGCTGATTCTCAAACCCCCCCTTTGCTATCCCCCCCTTTCGCCTGGCCGGCCCTGGCATGACGCATGCGCCCTCGCTGGGCCGAAGGGCCGGGAGGGCCTGTACACACCGCCGCGGGGCCCAGGAGATGGCCATGGCCAGGCGCGGCGGTGGCGTACAGGTGCCGTCTGCGGAGGGGAGGCGAGGAGGAGGAGGATGCGTAAGAATGCTGGCGGGGACGAGGATGAGGAGGGCGTCTCTTGCCGAGAGGCGGCCACGATGAGCCAGTTCTCCGGCCGGTACTGGAGCCAGATCTCGGACGGGGACCTCTGCTTCCGCAGCAGGGCTCTGCAGCTCGCGTACCTGGACAGCGAGGAGCGGGGAAGGCTGGGGGAAGGAGTAAAACGACGCGAAGATCGGGACAAAATCGGATCGGGATAACTCGAAATCTCTGAGAATCGGCGGGTTTGGAGGATGTATTGGGCGCCGCGGGCGCTCCAGAGCGTTCCGGAACGCTCTGAGAGCGCTCCGGAACGCTCTGGAGCGATTTATCCCGATCTTAGCCCTGTTTTAAGGAGGGACATGATGAGAACTTAGACTGTCCAGTTGCATTATTCTCCAAGCAGTGTTTGCACTCAGGGAGATCTTTCTTGTTCTCCTCAGCAGTTGCACAGGACATCCGGGTGTTCGGCTGGCGCTTGGCCTCAGTTTGGTTGGTTGCGTTCTCTGACCTGTTCAAAACTACATTCCGAAGTATGAGTTTGTTGTTGACGCACTTCGTGTCCGCAACAACCCGTCAGGAAGTACCAATTGTCATGAGATGAAAAGTGGAGGAGCATTCGTGAGCCATCGTTGTGACCACCATCAGTAATGTCTGTGACAGCCCTTGTGGTGGTCCATGCGACAATCCATGTGGAGCTCATGATGGTGGTCGCGGTGGTGGTTCCTGTGGCGGTCGTTGGTGTAGTCTTTGCGGTGGTCCCTGTCGAAAAGCCCACGTGGTGGTCCCTGTGGCATCTCCTGTTGTGGACCATGTGTGGTCACTGGTAATCCCTCGAGTCATCGCCGCGATGGCTCGTGTGGTGGGCCCTGTGGCGATCCCCGCGAGGAGGGAGAGGGACGAGGAGGAGGCCGATGAGGCGAAAGAGGAGGAAGGGGCCGGAGGAGAGGCGAGGCAGCGAAGACATCGATTCCGGCGCGTGGATTAGCACCGGGTCCTGCTTGTGTGCAGACTCGGCGCGCTCCGTCGCCAAGTCAGGCGGCCCCTGGCCGCGCGTTGCGGGCGGTGCGTTCCCCGATCCGTGGACCTGGCGGCCACGCGACAGATCCACGGTCCTGAATCCATGTCAGCGCGTGCCCGAAAGAAGGACGTGGAGCGAAGAGAAGCAGGGAGGCGCAGGAGGAAAAGCAGGGTTGGCGAACATGTGCGAGGAGGAGAGGCAGCAGGGAGGAGGAGGGCGTGTGAGTCAGAAGAAGAAGAGCAAAGGGAGGAAGACCAAAGGAGAACGAGAAGGAGGAGAACAGGAATGAGAAGAAGAAGTGCAGGGATAAGTAGAAGCAACAAAGACGAGGAGTAGTTGCATGCCGCTGTTGCAGTTGTATTATTGAGACCACTGTTTGGCAGTTGTCGCAGTAGCAGTAGTAGCATCAGTAGATTTGCACATGTGGACCCCAAGCAGTGTGCCATTGCAACACAAACACGTGGTGGAACTTGTGCGGAGCACACTGCGCAGCAGAGTGGTGCAGGGCCACACGTTGCCTACGGACGATGGGTCTCTCGTCACATACTGGCGGCATTGTTGTATGGCCGCGAGTGCTGATATATGAAACCATGTTGTTCGCCTCTGCGTCACCGTTAGACGGAAGCACTCGGATCCGCTCAAGAATTTCCAGGATGTGTTAGGATTTCTTCAGAATATGCAGGGATCCGCAAAAATCCTTTCGATTGTCCGAGGGAGTATCAGGAGTCTTGTGATTCCCCAGGATAACCCAGATTAATCAAGATCCCGGTGGGGGGGTCCTCACGGTTTTTGAGAATTCCTTCGCATTTCTGTGGTCTCCGAAGGATTTCTCCGGAATCTTGGGGATTATCGAGGAGCCTTCAAAATTCATACGAAATTCTGAGAAGGATGGGGGAGGCGAGAGCTGGAAGATCTGGGCAGCTTCTTTCGGCCAGGAGTTCTCAACGCCCGCGCCCCTGCTCCAAGCCTGGAAGAGGGCCATATCGCCAGCGGCTTCGAGGACGCCTGGAACGCGGCTGGGGCAGCGAGTCGTCGTCGTCGTGCTCGTCGTGCTCGTCGTCGTCACCGTCGTCGCCCTCCACAATTACACAATATGAATACTACTCTCCTCTCTCCCCTGGTGGAGTCCGCGGAATGCCTGGCCCCCCTCCGCGCACTGGTTGTTTACACAGAATTTCCGGGAGTTGGGTTTTCGCTTGGGTTTTTTTTTCGAAATGCGGCTCTCGTTGAAGCGCTGGCCTCATGTTCGGGCTACCGCTCGTTCAGAATCGTGCTCCCGCTGCAGCGCTGGCCTAATTTCCGCGCTTCCGCTCGTTCCGACTCGTGCTCCCGCTGCAGCGTTGGCGTCATTGTTTCTTATTTCGAGTGCCAGTCCCCGGTATGGTTTTCGGTCCTTCCATATAAACCCCAAAATCTGGAAGACGGCCTCCCGAAGAATCCATCGGAAGTGATTACACATTCGGTGTCGATTCGTTGATTTGGGGGGCCGCAGACGCCCCCGAGCGTCGCCACGCCATGCTACGTCATGCTACGCGCTGATCTTCGACACCATGCTACAGTGCCGTTTTTTAAACATGCTCCGCGTGCGGACAATATATCAGAATGCAAGGATTTAATATTAAAAACACCGGTTAGTTTATGCATACAGTTATTCAGACATTAATCATGTATTAAAATCATAGTATTTGTTCAAAACAAAAACAATAAGCAAAAACGATGTATGAAATACTGCCCTGTATGCCATGCAATGCTATGCCATGCTACGACATCCGATCTGTGCGAACAGAAAGGAGATCTGCGCCATGCTGGGGGATGGGAGGGAGGGGCAGGACGCCTGATACGACGCGAGCGCACCCAGCTTGTCCTCCCCCTCTCCCCCTGCCCCCCCCTCGCAGCGCCGCCGTTGGTCACGTCCTGGTCGATCGGGGCCTCGCCCTGGTCGTGCGGGCTCAGGCTCGGCTCGCCCCTCCTGGCTCCCGCGTGTCGCTGCCGCGGGTCTCGCTTGATCCTCTGGGGCCCGCCTCTGCGGCGGCAGGCCCGCCCTCGCCGTGAAGGAGGGGGGTCCTGAGGGAGGGGGACGCCAGGCCCAGAGGTGCTCGCCAGGACAGGTTGTGAGTCCTCTGTTGTCTTGACGGTCCAGGGCCCCAGCGAGGGCTCCCGGGATCCGAGAACGAGGAAGGCGGTCATGACAGATTCCTTCCAGGATCCACTTCCTTCATGCTCAGCTCCGTGCTCTCCTTCCCCCTCCTCGTGCCCAAGCCAGTAGGTGTCCTGTGTGCCCCCATGTAGGGCCGCGAGCGAAGAGCGATACCCTGTCATTGAGGCCTTCTGTGGATCTCCCTGTGGGGCCACGAGATGCGTGAGGGATGTGCCGAAATTCGCAAGGGGGCCGCATGCGATACCCTGCCGCTGAGGCCTTCGGTGGTGCTCCCTGCGGGGCCACGCAACGTGTGAGGGGTGTGCTGACAGAAACAGCGGGACGCTATGCAACCTCGTACCACTGGGGCTTTCGGTGGTGCTCCAGGCGGGGCCACGACTTGTGCGAGGGTGTGGCGGAAAGGGCGGGGGAGCGCTATGCAACACCATGCCGTTGGGGCCTTCGGTGGAGCTCCCTGCGGGGCCACGACACGTGTGAGCGATATGCCGACATGGGCATGCGGCAAGGAGGGGAGAGAGCGGGAGGAGGAAGGAGGAAGGACGCGGGGCGCTGCGGATTCAAAACGAGGATCTTACTCACACAGAATGGTTCGGACAAAAACAAAACATGCTTCATTCTATGTGTGCTTCGTGTGCCTTCGGTTGTGATGTGCCTTCCAAGTGTTTTGCTTCCGCTGAAATGCTTGTACAGTCGGGGCCCTGAAGAAGGAACCCTTTTCGTTGGGGAGGGGCTCCGCGTTCCTTGCGTGTTTCACAGCTTGCCTCAGGTTTTCCTTATGTTTTCGATCGGAAATCGACGTTTCACTCATGGAAAAAAGGGGCCTCGTTCCTTATTTAGGGTTCCTTAGGTCAACGCCCCGACTGTGCCCCCAAGGAAGCGGATCGTGGTCAAGCTCTTCGGCGCCCCCGCGCCAGGCGCGCCCGCGCCGGCGCTCGAGCGGAGCTCGACGGCAGGACTGGGGGGGGGCTCTCCGAGGATCGAGGAGCGCGGGTCCGAGGTTGATTTCTTCGGCCCAGGCTGGCTCTGACCAGTTTCGGCCTCTGGGGGCCTTTTGCCGCATCGTGCGACCGCCAAAAGGCAGATCGGGCGAACAGAAAAAAATGGCCCCCAGGAAAAGGCTCGAGACCTCTGGATGTCACGAGGGGTGCTCCTCGGGGTTCCTCAGCATGAAAGAACGAGAGCTTGGATGAAAGAGGTCCTGTAGGTGTTCCGCCGTTTGGTTCTCGGCGCCCTCCCCAGGCCTTGGAGTCAAACGAGAACCAGGATGGGAGATTCTCCCCAGGCGAAGCTGCAGGATCGAGAGGATTGTGGACCGAGGATCGAGCTCCATGGCAGTGCCCAGCAGGATCGAGGATCCAGAGTCTGAGACGCCGTTTCAAGGGTTCCAGTGAGAGCTGGGTAAATGGTTCCTCCTCTTCTTCCTAATGCTGCCCTTCTCGTGCTCCTCCTCCTCTTCCTTCCTATCCCTCCTCTTCCTTCTCCTCTTCCTCCTCATCCTCCTCCTCTTCCTACTCCTCTTCCTTCCTATCCCTCCTCTTCCTCCTCCTCCTCCTCCTCCTCCTCCTCCTCCTCCTCCTCCTCCTCCTCCTCCTCCACGTCATGGCCCGCCGGCCAGAGCCCCTAAGACGGCATGCTCGTTGTTCGACGTGCGAGCGGTGCAGGCCAGCTCTCCTCGAGGATCGATCACCGAGGGCGCATTCGAGCCCAGGACCCCCTGGCGCCGTGAAGCAATCTCGACGTAAGATTGTTTGGCAAATGGTGGCGTTCCTTTGCAAGCACATCGTCTTCGGCACCGCCTGGTTCCGGGGCTTTGCCCCCTCCTGGCCTTGACGTGAGGCCCCTCCTCCTGCCCCCCTTCTTTGTTAATTCAAGCTTCGCGCGGCCCGCTTAGCTTCGACCGGAAGAGGTGCGCTCTCGACCCGCGAATCAAACATTGTTTGGCAAATGGTCAGGCGCGGGGAGCGTTGCGGGGACCAGCCTTCGAGAGCGTCGGGCTCGCGACGCAGAGTCCCGCGGGGGGGCTCTACGTGTTCGGATTGCTGTTCGGTATGACTCCTCCTCCCCACCATCGACATCATCACCTGTATCATTACGTTCCTGCTAGTCGTCCTGCTCCTCCTTCACCCATTGCTGCTCCGCCTGCCCCTGGTGTTGCCCTTCCTCTCCCATTCCCCCACCCCTCGTCCTCATCGTGGTCCTCACATGTCAACCTCAGGGCTACGCCCTTAGACGAGTTCCCGCCTGCGGAGGACTCAAGGTCGTGACGTTGCTCAATTCTTCCTCGATCGCGGCACAAATGAGCGACGAGAGCTACTGGCCTCACCAGTCGTTCTGCCAGCTCGCGAGCTGAAATCCGAGGCAGACAGTAGGCTGAACGGCTTTCGCGTTCCCGCGGTGTCGATGCCTATACACCTGGCGCCGCGAAGAAGAAATTTGCCTCCCAGCAGGTGACCCCCTCTTCCTCCCCCTGATCCTCCCCCTTTACCATGCGGCTGGGTGTAGAGGTGGAGCTGGATTTGTTTCCAGCATCGAGGTCCGAGCCTGGTGCCGTGCCAGAAGTTGGCGTCGCAACGGAGTCGAACGCGAGATGTTGCAGTCGTATGTTTGGCTGGACTCGGGTTGACGGCGGAATTGGCGCGAAAACCTCTCTCCCCGGAAAGATTCAACGGCATCGAGAAACTACCAATACGGAAGTTCCAAATTGTTCCGCCAGGCGCGCCCCGTGTGCATCCACGTGCGCATATGTTCCACATGCCATTTTTCGTCCAAGGTCCCAAGGTGACATCTGTCGTGTTCGGATGTGCTCGTTTGTTTTCAATCATTTCTCTTTGGTAGTAGTGGTTCGTGAGGAGGGAAGTGCGCAAGTCGTGGGACCACGCCAGGGCACATGGCAGTGCCGCCACGGCAGACCAGAGTCGGAAATGATCTGCCATGCCACAGACCACCAGTATGTCATTTAGTGCACATACCATCGATGACGCCATGGCCTTCTAGCAGCGGGTGCGACGGCGATCCATACATATGGCATGCCAATGATAGTGGTGATGTGTGCCGCAGTTGGCCCAATGAATCCGGTCGCTTGCAATGGTTGAAGGCTCCGATGAGTTGAGTGCAAGAGTCACGATTTCATTGTCCGACTCAGTAGCATGGCAAGGTAGATGTGACGAGCTTATTTTGTGCCCTATTCCACTCGCAGAACGAAAAAGTAGGGCGATGTCCACTGTTCCAACTCAGGCCTTCAAATTACGCATCCCTGCTTCGCAAGGAAGGTATCGCATTTGTTGATTGATACCTTCGCCAGTGTGGATCCCAAGTAGTGATGCCTTGCAGTATATGCATTACAGTCTAAGTGGGGCAATCGATGTGGCGCAACGCAATGCACAACCAAGCAATGCACATCAATGCAAAGCAATGCAATGCAAAGTAACGCAAAGCAACATCAACCAAAGCGAAGAAAAAACAATGCAAAGCAACGCAACGCAATGCCGAGCAATGCAAAGCAAAGCAACGCAAAGCAATGCAGAGCAAAGCAAAGCAATGCCAAGCAATGCCAAAGCAATGCGAAGCAATGCAAAGCGGACGGCGACGAGGCAGCGGGCGGCGACGGGGCGGCGACGGCGGCCACATGGCGGCCAGAGCGGCCCGCAGGTACAGGCGACGAGACGGCGACGGGGGCCACATGGCGGCCAGAGCGGCCCGCAGGCCCAGTTCCTTAGAATCGAAGAATGTGTGCAAGCACGTTCTGGTATGTGTATATATATATACACACACATACATCACGGGGGACCAGGTCCGGGGGCCGGGGGCTGGGGCCCCGACCGCAAATGTAGGGCCCGGCGCGCCGGGAGCCCTCCCGGAGCGCCGGGGGCCGTCCAAGATCGCCCGAAGATGACTTCGGAATGCTCGGAAACGCGCTCCGATGGCTCCGGATGCCTTTCAAGACACCTCGCATGACGCCAAGAAGGCCTCCGAAGGCCCCGAAGACGCCCCAAGAGGCGCCCCAATAGAGCCCCAATAAGCAAAAATCGTCGATGTCCGATGGGAAAACTGATGTTTTTGGCGTGTTCGCCTTTTGCGCTTCCACTGCGTCCAAGACTGCCCAAGAGGCACCCAAGACGGTCGAGGATGCCCCCAAAAGGGCCCCAAGACGGCCCACGAGGGGGCCGAGACGGCCCACGAGGCGCCCAAACCGCCCAAGAACGCCCCAAGGCGGCGCTCAAGACGGGGACGAGGAACCGGAATTTCTCGCCTTTTGGTCCAAGAGACCCCCAGGAGACCCCAAGAGGCTCCAAGAAGCGCCCAAGAAGCCCCAAGAGGCTCCCATGAGACCCGAAAAAACACCAAAAAAGACCCCGAAGACGCCCCAAGAGGCACCCCAGTAGAGCCTCAAATATGTAAAAATCGTGGATGTCCCATGCGGAAGCTGATACTTTTGGCGTCGCCTTTTGCGTTTCCATTGCGTCCAAGACGGCCCAAGAGGCATCCAAGACGGTCGAGGATGCCCCCAAGAGGGCTCCAAGACGGCCCACGAGGGGGCCAAGACCGCGCACGAGACACCTAAACCGCCCAAGAACGCCCCCCAGGAGCCCAAGAGGCCTTGCCGGGGAGCCTCCACAGCGCACCAGGATGGCCCAAGACGCCTCCCAGGAGCCCCCAGAATTCGAAAGGATGGTCCAAGACGTTCCCAAGCAACCCAAGTCAGCCTTCCGACGGCTCTCGAGGCTCCCAGGTGGCCTCCAAGAGACCCCAAAAGAGGTCCGAGAGGCGTCCCTGGACGGCTCGAAGAGGCCAAAATCGTAGATTTACATTTGTTTTTTTAATGTTTTTGGCTTCTCGCGTTTTCGAGCTTCCAATGGTCCAAGAGCGCCGAAGAGGCTCCCAAGACCGCCCCAAGACCACCCAAGAGACCTTCAGGACGGCCCCAAGACGAGCCCAGAAGGCTCCAAGACTGCCGAAGAGGCGCCCAGGACAGCCCCAGACCACCCCACAACAGGCCCAAAATGAGCCCAAGAGCGGGAGCAATAGGCTCCCACAGACCTCCAAGAGGCCTCGGGGACCCCCCAGAGGCCCCCAACACACCCCCGATCCCTGAGAGGCCCCAAAAAGACCCCGACGAGACCCCAAGAACAGCCCAAGAGAGCTGCGAGAGCCGTCCCGAGAGAGCACAAAGAGGGTAAAACCATGTTTTTTAGTGTTGTTCGCCTTCTGACGTTTTCCCGTTTCCAACCCTCGAAGATCGAGGATTTTTGTTAAAAAAGTGAATTCCCAGAGTTCCTTGTTTTTCGAAATGGGACTCCGACTCGGAGATCCCACGCATCCACATTTGGCTGGCACCGCGCCTCCCGGCTTCCCGGGGGGCCCCCAAGACGCCCAAGGACAGCCCAAGACGACCCCAAGGAGCCCCCAGAACGTAAAGATCGGCCCAGCACGCTCCCGCGCAGCCCGAGACACCTTTCCGACGGCTCTCCAGGCCTTCAGGAGGCCTCCAGAACCCCCAGGGGGTCCAGAAGATCCCACACCCCTGAGGGGCCCGGCTAGCAGAACCCGCAAGGCACAAGCAAAAAACAGCGCCGAACAGCGCCGAGGAACTTGGAAAAAATGGAAATCCCACAATTGTTTTTGTTGCAAGCTTGTTCCCCAGGAAGCCTTTGAGGGCCCCAAATCGTTGAATACCTAAAGGGAATTCATGATTTCTGCGTTTCCGCACTTCCCCTTCTGTACGATTCAGAGGCTTGCGCAGGGCCTCCAAGGGAGTCCTTGGACGCAAGAAGCGACCAAAATGAGATTGCATGAGTTGGCCGATCAAGCCTAGCTAGAACTTGAGCGCGCGCGATGGTTCTAGTAGATAGTTGGATGTATGTATGTATGTATGCATGCATGCATGCATGTATGTATGTACGTATGTATGTATGTATGTGATACCGAAGAAAGGCCCCATACATTATTTGTTGGGCTATAGGGCCGTCGGGCTAAAGGGCTATAGGGCTATAAGGCTATGGGGCTACAGGGCTATTGGGCTGTTGGGCTATAGGGCTATAGGGCTACTAGGGCTATAGGGCTATAGGGCTATAGGGCTACAGGACTATAGGGCTATAGGGCTATAGGGCTGTGGGGCTATAGGGCTGCAGGGCTATTAGGGCTATGGGAACATAGGGCTATAGGGCTATAGGGCTATAGGGCTACAGGGCTACAGGGCTATAGGGTTATAGGGCTATGGGGCTATAGGTCTATAGGGCTTCAGGGCTTTAGGGCTATGGGGCTAAAGGACTGTAGGGCTAAATGGCTATAGGGCTATAGGGCTTTAGGGCTTTAGGGCTACAGGGCTATGGGGCTAACGGGCACCCGGGCACCCGGGCACCTGGGCACCCGAGCACCCGGGCACCCGGGCGTGCCGCCGAAATCGGCGCCGTATTTCACTTAACCATTTGAATCCGCTAGGACCCCTACAGAGGCAAGCTTTGATGGGGGGAATGCATGCAATATTGCATTGGCGCTTCGCGCCATGCACCTTGGTTCTTAATGTTTGGCATGCAGGCGGAAGGGCAGTGAGGCAAAACGGAAAAGTAAACGATTGTTCTTTATTGTTTTTCCCGACATCGCCGTGATCATCATATTAGATTTTAAATGTCTCTCATGTTTCTTGTTCCTCTTCCTCATTCTCGCCCTGCCATGCGAATCCGTCCCCATCCTCAGCTCTTTCTCAGGTTCCTCCTTGGAGAGCCTCTTGACGGCCTCACGAAAATTTTGCAGGGCTTCTTGGGGCCTTTGGAGGCCTTCCTTTTGGGAGCCTCTGGGGCTTCTTCGCTTCCTCGGGCCACCCTGAACGACCGGGTCACGATTTGAAATGCTTCGAGGGGCGTCTCGGGGCCAGCTTGTGCCGTCCTGAGGCTCTCCTCGGGCCATCTTGGGGCCCTGTTGGGCCGTCTTGGGGCTCTCCTGGACGCGGTCTCGGACGCCTGGAAGGCCGAAGGGCAGAGCATGCCCCAAACATCAGACAGAAACCCGCGGAAATCAATGCATGTTTGCGTTTCGGAGGCCTCTTGGGGGTCGTATTCTCGGGTGGTCCTCGTGCGTCTGGCGGCTCTCGCGGGACCGTGCGGCCGCCCTTCCTGACAGATGTGGGCCCCGTGCGCAGGCTTGGGAGCCTTAGCAAGCCCGTGGGACCTTTTGCACGGGGCGTCCAGGGCGCCCCTGGGACCACGAATCCAGGGGGGTCCTGTTTTGGGGGGCGGGGGGGGGGGGAGTTCCCACATTGCAACAACACTGCAGACGTGGCTCGCACTTGCTTTGAGTGTTGCGAGTTTGACCATGTAATGCCGCGACCATGTTTGTTGAGACGTCCGCCCGCGC